GCCTTCATTCGTTAATTACATTTTAATAGTAATCAGTATCAAAAGAGGAATTAAAAAGTTAGAAAAGTTAGGCGCATAAAAAACACAACAGAGTGACTTTGGGAGAGTAGTGGTGGTGGTGGTGGTGGAAAGGAATAATAAATATAACAGAGAAGAGCAGAGTGAGAGAAGGAAGGAAAGGGATTAAATGTGGACAGAATCACAGACAGAAATCATTAGAATTCGTTGCCTCAGAGAAATGCAAATAGTGTAATGAGAGAAAGTACTGCACCAAGGCGATTAGTGGGGAAATGGAAGGGTTAACACAATACAGTAATAAAAAGTCTCTTTACTGTCAAGCGCTGGAGAGAAGAGAGTGTGTGTGTAGAGAGTGGAAGAAGTGAGAATGGGGAAAGCAGCGGAATCAGCAGCAGCAGTAAACTGGCAACATTTAATTTGCTTTGAGATGAGCTCTTGGTCCAACAGTTGCCATCCTTTGGTCCACAATTGGTACGGAATTGGTGCTGGAGTGATGGTGATGTTGCTGCTACTGCCGAAGATTAAAAGAAGACCAACAAATGGTATTATGCTCGCCCAGCAGCCACATCACAGATTGACCACTTGAAAGGCAGGTCCGCCGACGGGGCCGTTGCTGCGGTGCACCTCATGCGGCACGTCGCCGGTGAAGCCAACGTGACCGTTCTCCGCCGCCTCCAGATCATCGTGGGTCGAGCTCTTCAGCGGCCACTCGTGGAAGGTGGCGTGCAGGGCAATCAGGCAGGACGAGGCGCCAATTAGCTGATCGAGTGAAGGAGGGGGCAATAAAAGAAACGGGAAAGAGGGTTAGATTGGATGATGATGGTAAACAGACTGACTGACGGGCTTACCCAGAAGAAGACGCCGGTGAAGCCGAGCAGGAGAAAGATGGGCATGAAGATGAGGGTGAGGCAGAAGAGCTGCTGGTTGGGTGTCACTGCCTGTCCCATAATGGCCAGGTCCTGGCCGCGGTTGATGATGACGTAGGCGAGCAGGCCGTAGATGATCACCCCCATGAGGAGCATCGGCGAGGTGAGCAGACAGTAGGTGAGAAGGATGACGCTGACGACGACGTAGTTGGCGTAGAAGCCGCCCAGGTTGCCCTTCAGGCGTTCCTTCAGATTGCTGGACGGCATCGAGAACTGCTTCGGGTCGAAGAAGGCCGCCCAAGAGCCCATGCGGCTGGGCATCTCCTTCACCAGAGTCACCGCCTGGTCCATCTTTCCGCTGACAAAGGCGGTGGAGAACTAGGGAAGGAAAAGGAAAAGGAAAAGAAAAAGAAAAAGAAAAACTGATTAGAAATCGCCACGAAATTAATAAATCATGAGCTCCACTGGTTTTGTTATTGTCCAAGCATCCTCCTCTTTTGCACGTACACCAGCTGATGGATGGCAAACTTTGCCATATTCTCTCTCCCTACTGAACCGGTGCTTTTCTAGTTTCTGAAAAGAGAATCACTAGATTCACCGGGATTTTCCTTCCCTTTCTTCCCTTTCATTCTCACCACACCACCGCCAGGTTGCCATTTAATATGGAGAGCAAACACACAGGAGGAGAAGAAGAGGAAAACCTAGTCACTGAAGCGTATTCAAAGTCACACTCACAAAGCACACACACACAGCAGCAGCAGCATTACAGCTCGCAGGAGCCAAAAGTGAGAAAAGGGAGTCTATTTTTGGGGCGCCTGCTGTCGCTGCTGCTTCATTGTTGATTTATCTACCGGCCAACAGAAGAAGACAGACACTGAAGAGAGAGACACTGCTGGGGCTGCTGCTGCTGCTGCTGATGATGCTGCTGCAAAGGTCTTCCAAGAACTAGGGCTCAATGGAACAAAGTAGCTGAGAAATCGATTAGATTGCAATCGTCTAGCGACTGCAAAGCGCTGTAAAACACACGCACACACACATCATACATCACTCGCTAAGTAATAATTGAGAATGGATTGTTAGGAAAGGAGGGGGAGGGAATCAGCTGAAGAGAAAGTAAGGAGGCAGTATCAATCAGAGATAGCTGATGCTGCTGTAGTAGTTGATCATTCATAATTAAATTAAACTCTCAATTGCGAGCCNCAGCGCTGTAAAACACCCGCACACACACATCATACATCACTCGCTAAGTAATAATTGAGAATAGATTGTTAGGAAAGGAGGGGGAGGGAATCAGCTGAAGAGGAAGTAAGGAGGCAGTATCAATCAGAGATAGCTGATGCTGCTGATGCTGTAGTAGTTGATCATTCATAATTAAATTAAACTCTCAATTGCGAGCCGAGAGTGGCTGGGATGGCTTCTGTTTACTTAGGCGCCACCTGATTCTGACAGATTTGGAATTAGTTTTAGTAGTGTTTCGGTGGAAAGAAAATAGCAGCAGTGTGTGTGTGCAAGCCGCATCGTCTAAAGGCGCACAACTGAACTGAGAAAGGGCATAAATTATTGAGTGCTCAAGGGGAGGGAAGAAAGGAGTAGGCGGAGGCTATATACCCTTCTCCTAAATAGAGGTATTGAAAGCATTCGAGTACTACTGGTGTGCTGCAGAGCAATTCAATGTTAAAGTGAAATGGAATGTGTGTTCGAGGTCCTCCAAACTCGATCAATCAATTTGGCACTTGCCACACACACACACAGACACAGACACGCAAGTGCACAGAGTCATACATCGTAGTACGATGATCGTACACTGCCATGAGTGGTAATTATAAAGCGGGCCGAGGTTTCCAGAATGAAACGCTACATCACAGCAAAACAATTCCGAAGAACTCCGCTTCTTTCTCTCTCAGTGACAGTGTCGTCCATCAAACGGAGAAAACAAGCAATCTTACCTTGCTGTCTGCGCCCGATGAGCCCTGCTGCTGCTGCTGTTGAGGATCCATGTTAGCCTGAGCAGTTTCTGAAGCTGACACTGTGGCCGTACCAGGCTTGACCTTGAGATTGCTCAGCAGTTTGCCAAAAGCGGGCGGCAAAGTGACAATATTCTCGGTGAAGCGAAGTTCGCTCGAATTTGTAGGCAGGTTCACNCAATATTCTCGGTGAAGCGAAGTTCGCTCGAATTTGTAGGCAGGTTCACTGAAGGGCCACTGCTGCTG